TTTTCTTTTGAACGCCCATTATATTCCACATATAATGCACATTTGCTACACTAACTTCCTCTATCATCTTTGTTTGCTACTTTCTAAACTACAGCTGTGTCAGAGCGACTTTTTCCTGTTTCTTCCTTTTCTGTCTAAAAATAAAGTCATTAACCTGCAGGTGGTGGAGCCTGCGCTGGCGTGACAGGCCCTGGCGCTGTCAGATGACCTGCTGCCCCTGTGATGTGACTGGCTGCCACACTATTGACAAGACGACAGTACGGACACGCTCAGCCACGACCATACTTTTTCATCCTGCAACGCGCGCTGTGGACAAAACAAGGTTGTTTCTGTTGGGCAGCCTCATTTGACAGTACGAATTGAAAAGACTTTGGACGTGCGTGTGTGAGTGTGTGTGTGTGTGTGTGTGTGTGTGTGTGATACTTGCGCTGTAGCCAACTGTGAGTGAGTGAGAATGAGCTTGAGAGGATGTTGGAGGCTTTTAAGAGGTGTAGACATTCTAATGTGGCCAAAAAGTATGGGGTTTTCTACTCCCCAGAGGTTGTTGCTGGAGTTTTGAGGAAGAGCGCATAAGGAACGGGGACAAGGGGAGAGGAAAATACAGATCATATGTTTCTGACAGATTTCATCAAGTCAAAACACATTGTGAGGCCACCACCACAGTGCAGTACACAAAACAAAAGGCAATGGGCATCAGTGTCTATGCATCTGAGGGGCATACAAAGAGCAGGTGTGTCTGTGTACTCTTGTGGGTAGGGTTAAGTGGGCGGTCGCTGCTTATGAGTGTGTTGTGTGTTGTGTGTGCGTGTGTTTTGTGTGCATACTTGGACTAGCCTCCACCTGAATGGCCCGAGGCGGTGGTACCAGGGCTGTTAGAAGACAAACAGAGACACAGGAAGCACAAGCAGGAGCCCTGAGGACAGCTCACACACACTGCTGCATAACTGCCTTTAAGTACACACTAGCTGTCAGAGGCATAGACAGGAGAAAAGACTGGACCAGGAGATCAGTGTCAGACAAGCCTGCAGTGCAGAGCCAAAACAAAAAAATTAAAATGGAGCAATTACAGTGAAGATAGGAAGTCAAATGCAAAAATGTTTTTAAAGAAAAGTTGTGCTAAATATTTTAAACAACTAAAATAGAGGGAAGATTTCTCATATTAACTTCAAAGGTGGCCAAAACAAATTACATCTTTTCGTATTCGTATATATCCTTTACCAGATTTCCTTTCAAAGACAACACTCCATTTATCTAAGATAAAACAACAGGTCTTGTACCTCCTTACTTGTAGAAATAAACCAACTGATTTGGCATATATTTTATATCTATGACTGGGCAATGGTCTAACCTTTCTTTTTATAAATATTGCAAAGATGTATGACTCTCTACCAATTCCCATGTCTACTGCGAGTTAAGGTATAAACACGTCAAGCTTCTTGAGCCCACTTTTCTTCCTGTTGCTAAAAGCCAGACATAACCCTCCACCTCACTATAACTTCTGCTTCCTAAATCCACAAAATCTCACTTTAGGGCTCAAATACTTCATACCTGCTTACACACAAAAACACATCCACGTTCAGAATGTGTTTCCCTCTAGGCCAGGTGCTCTGTGCCAAGTCTGGCCTGGCATGGTCCACAGAGGGGTGTCCTGAGGCAAGGCCTGCCAAGTCAAAGAGTCTTTCATGTTCAGCCTGTAAGCTCAGGGTAGTAAAGCTTTAACAAACAGCGCGATACATACACACTGCTCTGTAGAAAACGCACACACCATGGCTATAAAGTGTTTAAGTGCTCCAAACCGCACTTCACATATTCACATATAGTTCAATGATGTAAACAGTGAATTCCCGAATGCAGCCAGGGCCATTACTGCTCAATTCAACAAAAAAGAAAAGCTTGATCAATCCCTTTAGACAGCTGACTTTTGTGGATGTTTATTTGGCTTCTGAAAAAGTAAAATTTTCTTTATAAAAATACATTCACACATCACTCACTAAAAAGCAGTGCAGCTAGCCAAAAATAGACTGATCTTATCATACTCTCAACTGTAGGATCAAATTAGAATCAATTACTACAGTGGACAATGGAGTGCTTATGTAGAAAATATTAGCCAGTGTCCAGTAATTGCAATAGCCAGCATCTGTGCCTTTTCAGTATCAATTAAAGTGATCACACAAACAAAAGGCACCCACCACACGAGAACTTGTGCTGTGGCCCATATGCCTGAACTAACCCTGGCAATAGAAAAAAACAATATCGCTACCACAGAACCTCAACCCCCTCCACTCATAGACTGCCACACACTGCCCAGCCCCCCAGATCTGCTTAGCCCGACACATATCCACCGTGTATACACTTATGAAAGCACGGCAGAGGGAGGGAGAGAGGTTCGGAGAAAGGTGGCACGGTGCCAATAAGGAGCCTGCTAAATACCTTTGTCTTCACTATAAACATGGACGAACAGGGGAGGCAAGCCACTACAAGAAGACTAAAGGAAATATTCTTCCAGTGCTCAAGTGTTGCAAAGAAAAACAAGGAAAGGTGGTTAACATAATGAACTCAATATTGATCGGGAGCCCAGGTTACACACTAAAGGCAGGAGTGGGAGATTGTGGTCGATTTGAGCGACTACAGTAGTCTCATTAATTCTTAGCAAAAAAGAGATGTAAATGCTTATACTTAGGCAGTAACACAATATGGTAGTCAAAATACCAAAATTGTACAACTTTTGATCACTTGCAAAAAAAAAACAACAACTAAATGATAAAATGCACATAAAAAAATACAGCTATTTTTCTCTTAACAACTTCTGATATGAGTATACATTTAATATAAGTTTATGCTCTTAAGTAAATCACTTTAAGCGTACATTGTGGTTTGTGTGAGAAACTGTCATCTGCTCTTTTTTTCTGGGCCATCCATAATCTGGAGACAAGCGCTGGTGTCCCTATGCATATCTTAAATTGTTTATCATGCAAATGATGGCACACAGGCTTCTCTGCCCTCTTGTAACGGCCCTCGGCTCCAGACTGCAGCCCCTAGCCCCAGCTGCAGCCACAAGGCTAGCAGACGCAAGGATAGATTATCTTCACATTTAACCAACCCTCACAAAAAATATACTGAAATATCAAATATAAAAGAATGCATATGTTAAGTGAATGCTGTTCTTTTTATATAATGCAAAAATTTGGGCAGCAAGGTTAATCACAATCAAATCAAAATTGCAATTTGAATAGATGCAATTATCAGATTGCAAAGACTGCATTTTTTAAAGAGCCATAATTTCCTCCACAAACACCTAAATATCCTGTCTTATTCTACATAAAAACTGCTAACTCTATAGTTTAGATCTGCATAAGCGTGTTCTGAAAAGTGATTATTGTGTTAGTTTGTCAGTTCATATTTCAGTCTTTTTGTCAGTTGTCTGAAAAAAATTAAATTAAGTTACTTTTCCCAAAACTTCACCCAAACAGAAATATGAGTGGTTTTAGGACTATTTTGGAAAAGTTATATGTAGTAGCTATGTTGAAATGTGATAAAAAAAAAACTGGCAATTTAATTATTTAAATATGTTTTAGACAAGCACACACAGTTATGAAGTGGAATAAAAACTGATGTATTTACTCAAGTCTTTGTCAAAATGAAAACTTAATGAAAAATGCTTTGGAACAGATTGGGAGCCTAAATCATTGCTGCTCATTTAGTTTATTGATATGAATTGTGTGTTAGCTGATTCTGCAATAATGATAAATGTGTAATACAAGTAGCATCCCTAATGTGTATTAAGATGCATGTTGTCAGTGTCATCCTTGTACGGAGCGGGTGAGAGAACATGGCAGCAAACATATGGGCACTGGGGTGGCGTCCTGGCACCGCTACTCTCCATCCATCAATCTTGGCATAGAAAAAAAGAAAGTGGTGGTGGGGGTGGTAATAGCTTTTTTTGAATTTGACTGATTTGATCTATGTTGTAGCTGCATCTTATTTCTCCATAGCCTTCTAATCCTATACGATATTCATTTATTCATAAGAAAAATATGTGGTTGAACAACATCTAGAAACATAGTCTAGAAAGCAGTCTATAAATAATGGTCTTCTTACAATGCTGCTGACCTTATGATATCATGTGAACTACTGATGATCTAAATGAGCTTCTTCAAACATCTGACAAGGCCGAAAGGCAAAACCAATGTGTGTGTGAGGTCCAAACAGTGTAAAATGAACTCATGAAAAGTGGTCATTCTGTAACAGGACATAAGCAAAGCGCAGGGTTTGCCATCTTTAAAATGCCTGACGAATACAGTACAGAAGAGCATATTATTCTCACACTCAGCTGGAAATTGCCTCAAATGAAATCAGAACGACCCGAACAATAACAGCTATTTGCCACATGATATTGGCTCCAGCTAGAATTAATAAACACTAAAATGGTGCTTTGTAAATCCGGTCATAAGGGAAGCGAGCTTGTTTGCGCTACAGTGTCATTAAGCCCCAGTGGACGGCCGACAAGCACAGCAGCTCTTTACCAAGACCTTAATTACTCAAATCAAAGAAAAACACTGACAATTAGTGACTCCACAAATAAACGGCGCTTTCTTGACAGCTTGGCGTAATTACATTCTTTTCAATCTCTTTTTAATTTTAGCATCGGAGTGAGTGTTTGCAGGCACATATTTGTGGGAGCTGGAGATATGACAGAGTAATAAGCCAGGGAGGGATAGAGATAGGGCCCTCACTACCACATGAGAGAGACTGTCGAGGCCACAGGATCGGAGCACATCTGTAAGGCAGCACCGAAACCAGCTATTTCGTTGCTCCTCTCTCATAATCTCTCTTTGTTTGTCTTTTTCCATGTCTGCAAATGTTTCCTTTTCTCACAATCATTTTCAAGGAGGCTATTCTTCATGTGGTTAAGTATGGCTAGTTCTAAATGTACAATGTATTATCAAACACTTTATGTGAAAGTTACTACCACTAAAGCTGGGTTTCTTTTTATTGTTTACCTGTTATATTTTCTTGCTTGGGGATTATTCCTGGCAATGGTGCGGATAAACATTCCTCATCGTGTGGTGACACTTGTACGGCCACCTCCACGGGATGGCATGGCCTCCTGGGGTGCAGCTGTGTCCGAGAGTGGGACGAGGACGTGGACATGGGCGAGGCGAGGGGGGAGGAGGGCGGCCTGTCCAGTGGTTTGTCTGCACACAGGCTCCCGTGGCACTGGCGTCTCTTATGCTCAATGAACAACAGGATGTCTGACAGGGGGAAGCGAGAGTGACACTGGCCGCATGTGAGCAGGTCCTGGTCCCCTTTGAGAGGTCCACCCTGAGCCACTCCGAGCCTCGAGGAGTCCTGCGAGTCTTCATCTGGTGGGACGCCTGATAGCGGTTCAGCTATGTGCATGAAAACAAAGCAGAAGTGAGAAAGACCTTGTGGAATAATGTGTCAGTCAAATATAGCAAAAAGGAAATAAGGTCAAACATTGTAAAAGTGTATAAAAACTTTTAGCAGACTTCGATAAGGACTAACACAATGAGCTCGCAGGCAGCAGTCAAACGATTAAGTTGCTTGACCCTCTTTATTGTGCTGCCAATCTAGCTTTTTTAATGAACCTAACACCTCTGAGAATCAAAAAATAGATTCTAATTTGAGTTCAAGATGATTGGACCCCATTTCGTTAAAAGTGCTGGGATCTTATGAACCAAGGTTAGACATTGAGGGGTTGGATGTAGAGTAGGTCCCTGAAGTACGCAGGAGGAGAGAGGAGAGGGAGTCTTTAGAGGAGGAATCTAGCTCTGGTGTAAACGGTATTGAACAGCCGACTGGGATGCGGAGATAAGATGTGATGTATTCCCGTAGTCAGTTGGAGCTTTCATTCAGTACTAGGTCAGATGTGAAGTTTAGTGAGGGGTGTGCCACAGAGACCCTTTTCAGCAGCTTTAAAGATGAAGGAATTTGGTCCTATTTTACACCTACTTATCGCAAACTAGCTCTGACTCAGAAGCAGTGCCTAAACGTAAGTTACGTGGAAAACATTTCTTCGCAGCAATCAGACTAACACATAAATAATGTTAAACTATACTTTGAGTTTTTTGTAGTAACTGTTATTAAATAATCTGGATGGATCAAGCACTGAATTAATTGGACAGCTATTTGTTCTTACACATTTACTCCCAGTAGTTTAATGACTGAGCTGTGTTTTAATTATTAACAAAAAAGTTACGATTATATATGAAATGCACTGACTCATACTTATATATATATGAAATTATGAACTTTTCATATAGGCCTATTTCAAGTCCAAATAAACTCCCATTTTAAACGTCATTATGAAGACTTTAATATACAATTATTGTTTGTTCTAAAACGCTCCTGTCTATGCTTGTTCTATCAGCATCTATGGATCAAGTTCAAGTTCATAAGTGTCCTATATAGAGTGTAATCACAGTGCGCCCCCTACTGACTACACTCGATTTGACGTGTGCACTACTACACATGTAGATACAAGCAGAGCACAAATGGCAGAAACAGCGGCGGCATTAGGAGTGAACCAAGAACAACACAGTAACACACAAATAAACAAAAAAAAAAATAACAGGCTAGTGAGTAACTGAATTATAACTTTGGCAAAACACTCACTCCACGTGCGTTCTCCAAACACAAACAGTTTGGAGTAATTTAGGATAATTTGCAAACGTGTAAAACCAAAGGATTTCTGTTCGTTCTGACAACAAAACAGCGACTACTGCACCATCTCTATAATTTTGTTGATCAAATAAACCATCAGTGCTTTATCCGAGTAAATTAAACGGTGAAACTAAATAGTAGGCTCTAGGAGCTCTGTTGTTGACACATAAAAACACTTGGTGTCTAAATCCTATAAAGCATATTTGATTAATGTAAGGGTATAACAGGAAAGGAGAAGAGAGCAGCCTATAGGTTACCTTACTCAAGTGTAAAGTTTAAGAGCAGCTATAGCGTGCATATAGGCAAAGGTCTCTGGCCAGAAAGAGAGTAGTAGTCTCTATGCCAATTAATGGAAAAAGAACCTTGAAGGGTGCCTTTTTCAAAACATACAATTTGATGTCCTCCTTTACAGAAATCTTTCTCTGTAACCGTTTGGTGTAGTAATAGAGCTAACAGAAGTTATAAAGTTGCCCGCTCACGAGGAGAGAAGAGATAGTAGCAGCGCTGGTTGTGAGCAGCAGAATTCATGTGTGTCCACTTACGCGAAAACTCCCGTGTGCTCAAGTGCTGGGGTTTGCCTTGCTTGCGGCGAGACATGTTTGTATAGCGCTGGCTTTTGAGCTAAGTTCACATTGGGAAATCCGTTCCTACAAGGTAAGACTCCAAGTGAAATATCTTCATTGATGCGGGTGACATCCAAAAGGTGTTGAAAAAGAGAAAGGGGAAACCAAGGAAGTGTGGATCAGGCAGCGGGTAAGGCGCGCGTCTCTGTCCGTGCGGAGCTCGTCATGACTTTTTCGCAAAGAGGGAGAGAGTGATGAGGGGGTATATGGCAAAACCCCCCTCAAAGAGCTGCAAGTTCAAGTGCGGACGTGACGTTCTTGCGAACTTGAACGACAGCAGACTGACGGACTGAGACACAGAAAACATGGGCAGGGCGAGAGCGGCCAGTGGGAGGGGGACGAGCCGCAATAAAAGCCAATGGACACTCATTATGGACTACCTATGGAAGGCAGAGGGGAAAAACAGTACAGAGACCCCGAAGACACCAATGGACAGAGGGGAGCAGGAGGCGGGGCCAAGGGAGAGAGAGAGACAGAAGGAGACTGGAGGAGAGAAAGGGAGAGAGAGACCAAGAATACCCCACCAGCATGCTTCATTCATGCAGTGCCATTGTTATGCATACCATACTCATATTAAGCAATCATCTCCTGCTTTCGCTATAATAACACAAACACCATTTACGCTACTACAAGATTTAGGAAACAACGTCCAAGTTATAGCTGAAGTCAGTAAATGGAGAAACACTGAGTAGACTATCTGCGGGATGCACGTTTATTTATATGAAGTTTTGAAGCACTTGTAATTTGTCTCGGCATCACTTGCCCAACGCAAACAAATAGAAACTAATATAAGACATTTCGTAATTTAAAAGCTTTTCCCAGCGATAATAACTTTGTTCCAACAATTTAAAATGGTTTAAATTAATTTTGTTTCCTACAGTTAACCCATTGCCTCACTTTGCCAGTCTTCAGATTATTTAATCAATACGGTAGCGCCATCTAGTTGTTATATTGAGTACAAGTCTAAAAGCCTTATTAATGACGTGGTATCTGTCACACCATTAAAGTAAAAATGTATATTGGCCTGTGGTCTTTTCATAAGGTTTGAGTAAAACAGCTGTCTATAAGTAATTAACCATTTATAAAACAAACGGCCTTTTATATCTTTTTATACAATCCTCAAATCGCAAATAACTCAAAAAGTGACGTCACTGAAACCTACGAATAAGACAGCAAAAACAGTAGCGTGATTAGTTATGTAGACTACCAAAATGCACAGGTAACAAATTGCACAAAAATTATTCGGGCAGATTATTATTATAAAAATAAACATAAAAGCGCAAAGTGATCAAGGGAGAAATATGCTTTAGGCATTACTATCTTGATAAAATCTCTTTGTTTATCGTAAATAATACGTGTAATAATGTAACAATGCACCTATCTATACGGCTCTATTACATAATAACAGTATGTTCGTTTTCCTTCATAAGCCCACAGCGCCATCATGAGGCCAAGATGCATCAATGAGGAGAAGGGCTGGGCATCGCGCTACATGAGCAGAAGACAAACCCTCCACATTTCGGATGCTGAGAATCCGTTTAGCGTTTGGTGAGTCGTGCTTAAAAGCTATTTCAGTTTTCAGTCAGACGTGTGAAAGAAATATGTAGGCCTTGTTTATGGGGAGTGATGGAGATGCAGAAGGAAGCAGGAGATGCTTCGCCTGCCAGGCAAGCGCTACTTAGCCTACCATAACGAGAGCGAGGCTTGGATTTTGGATTCTGTAAGCCTCCATTCGTCAAATTTTAGTCTGTTACAAGCTTATGTGTAGGTTCATAAAGTAGCTTCATTTACTGTAGGACAATATCACGCGTCACAAGACCACAGGAGCATCAGAAGCGCTTATATATCTCTCATTTTACATAAAATCACAGGCAATCCTTAATAAATATTGGTAATTTTATCACCAGTTCTATTGATTTGAAGTATTGTCATGTTTTATTACATTCTTGATAACCGTTTATTGGAGACAAGGCCTAACCATTCTAATTTTCTCCCCATGATTGGCCCGATGCAATACAGTCCACTGCGCCTCGCACGATTCATGGGCTGTCATTGGTCCACGAGTGGTCCCAAGTGAAAGACCCGTGTTAGGTCACCCGTAAACAGAAAATGTAGGCCAATTAGAATAGGGAAGGGTTAACCACTTCTGAATCCAAAAGGGAGGACGAAGTGCCTGGTCAAATGAACATAATCTAACACAGGAAGCACAGTATAACCAAGCGTGCGTTAAAACCAAGCGGCTATAGCTGCACCAGAGCGTGAGTCAGCAAGGCCCAGCTACATACTGCTGTGTGTCTGCTTCTGGTGATGGAGAACAGGCTGTTGTTTCTCTCAAAGAAGCTCTTGTATGGGGCTTGTTTGCTTGATAATTCTGAAAACTGCATGGGAATCATATGAGCATACTAACAAGGCGATGGATTATCATAAGAGACACATGCTTTTGCTCTCTTTGTGTCCTTAGCCCTATAAACAACTATGCTGTGTGCCTTTTTGTGTTTTATGTTGTGAGTGGTGTGTGTAAAAGTGCCTCCAGACCATACAATCAAATTACTATGGTAACTGAATTTGATTAATGTGACAAAACTATTATTGGTGAATATATACAGTATATATATTTTCTTATCAGTCCCTCTTGGGGTTAGGAAATAGTAAAACAGCAGTAGTTCATGTGACTCTATCAGATGTTTAAGTTTTGTGTTTGGAGCAATGCAGTGGACTGATTCCATTGCAGTACTGAAGTCGCTGTCCATTTATAGCAGGATGCGCTTAGGACGAAAGGTGATCTGAGGCAGAGATGAGTCTGACTTCTTGGTTCCTGGTGAGCGGAGGGGGGACGCGGCATCGTTTACCCAGAGAGATGATATTCGTGGGGCGAGATGACTGCGAACTTATGTTGCAGGTAAAAGAAATATTTTACTCTTTGAATTATTATGGTGGATTATACATTATTTTTGTGTGCTTTAGTCACGCAGTGTGGACAAACAGCATGCCGTCATCAACTACGAGCCTAATTCAGATGAGCATAAAGTGAAAGATTTGGGCAGCTTGAATGGGGTGAGAAAAACGAATATTTTCCTACATTAGTAATTTAGCTGTACAAATTGCTTTATGAAAAAAATAATTTGTCTCTTTATTTTTCAGACTTTTGTCAATGATGTCAGAATACAGGAGCAAATCTACGTGACCTTAAAAATTGACGACAAATTGCGATTTGGATATGATATCCTTTCAATATACTGTTGTGTTCTTTCTGTCAGTGGTACACACTATAAATAGGATAGAAAGTAAATTTCACCAAAATAGCTCTTAATGTGTATTGCACTTGGCCTTGTACATCAATTTTGACATTAACCTGCCTCACATACCAACCTGTTCACTGTGGTCCGAGGAGAACTGCTGATTCCTGAGGAGGCTCTGAAGGTACAGCTGATAGCCGGCGTTTCTTTGTGCAGTGTTTTTGACATGTGTGATTAGAGTCATATTATAAGATAATTAAATACTGTTTTTGATCCTCTTGTCAGCATGAGAAGTTGAGCAGCCAATTACAGCTTGGCCAAAAGAGGCTATCAGATGTGCAAGTACCGCAAGTCCCAAAGTCTGAAGTTAAGGCAACAGAGGTGGCATCAGCACCAGTGTGTGAAGGGGCAACAGCAAGGACCCCTGAGGTCAACAAAATCGAAGACAAAACAGGTGAATATAGATAAACTATTATGATGTACTATAATATGTCCACTGAAAACATGTCCATTTAAATGCTTTAGCAGGGGAGATAGCAGTGCTGCATAGGGGCACCCCCCTCTATGGGCAACCTGCTTGGTGGGGAGATGGAGACTCTGATGAGCAACACTCTGCTCGTTCAGAGGAGAAGAACTCAGACAGGAAACGGGACAAGGCTGAAACAGGTCTACACTTATAGAAACTTTACTTAGATTTGTGAAATCACTTGTGAAAGTACTTAATTATGCAGGATGTAAGTCTGGAAAGATTGCAACATTTGCATCAAGAAAAAAATCACTGGATGTGTTTTTATGGTTTAAGATAAATATTGTTTATTGTAATATTGTAATTGTTTTCTGTTTGTCTGTTGTTACAGACCCCAGGAAAAGCACAGACAACAAAAAATCTGGCCAGCCTACAACATCTAGCCAGGATCCTAGTTATTTTAAGATTCCTACAAAAGATTCAGCTACAGATAGTAAATCAGTGAGTGAGACACCAGGTCAAAATACAGAAGCCAGTACAGAACCAATGCTTGGCCACGCCTCCTTCACCATCGAGTTTGATCCTGGAGCAACCGGTAAAGTAACAGTTAAAGACAGAGTGGCAAAAGGAGGACAAGATACCAAAGCACGCCCCAAAAGACCTGTCGGAGAGGACCTCAGTCCGCTGCAGACCGCCATGGTGGCAGCTGAAGTCAAAGTTGCAGACTGGCTGGCTCAAAATGAACTGCCATTGGCTCTCAAAGAAACTGCTGCTGCAGAGGAGGATGGAGAAAGTGCAAAGAGTGATGTCCCTGTACATTTGAGGAGTATTCAAGGTCTATGTTTGTGATATTTATATAAATATGGACTTCAGCTGAGTTGAAATTAATGTTATTTTTTTCTGTTCAGGCAGTAAACATGAAGATGGCACACAGAGTGACACTGAGAATGCTCTTGGAGAACAGCGCAGGGCCGTAGCACTAGAAGAGCGCTCGTGGGGGCTGTGGGGAGGACCGGGGCAGAAGTTTCGAGAAGGTCGGGCCAATGTACCAGAAGGGCTGTTTGCAGAGGAAGATAGCCCTGCACGACGCAGAAAAACTCCAAACTCTAAAGTTGTAAGTGGATTAGTGGAGAGGCGGCATGGCTCTGCACCCCACCAACAAAGTGGACGTGATGAGTGCAATCGCCCGGGGGATGACTTTAGTGACAGAGGGACCTATACCATTGAGATGGAAAATGGAACTCATGAAGAGGAAGAGGCTAGAAAAAGGACTTATAAGGTGTGATGATATATCTAGTTACAGCCAAATAAAGAAAAGAATATAACAAATTGCCCATGTAGTAATTAACATATAGTTAGGAATTGTTTGTTCAAGGTATCTTTGTTTAGCAAACCTCCATAATCACTGTACTTATATCTCAGTTAGCTTCGTTCTCAGACAAATATTGTTTTTTTTTGGCATAGGTGTTTGGTGCAGAAGAGCAAGAGACTGTGTGCCTGTCGAGATTAGGAAGCTCTGATCAGAGAGACCGCAGTAACGTTCAGCGGTCAGGTTCTGGGGAAAGGAGACAGACCGGCCACATGGAGCCAGAAGTGCATAAATCAACATTTAT